CTAGAAGCTATCCGTGGGGCGGTGCGGGGTCAGGAGAAATCCCACCAGGTGAATTGCACAAAGAATGATGGGTCGGGAGGGAGGTTTGAGGGAGGGAAGGAAAGGAGAAGTGGAAGGGGAAGAAATGGGAAAATGGGAGAAGGAGAAAGGGTGAGAGGGGGGCGAGGGAGGGGTGGGGGAGGGGAGGGGAGGGAAGGGTGGGAGGTGGGGGAAGGGAGTGATAGGGAGGGGTGGGGAAATGGAGGAGGGGGGGTTAGTGGACTGAGGGAAGAGGAAGAACAAAGATTGGAAGAGGAAAGGAGAGTGGAGGGAGGGGATGGAGGGAGGGAGGGGAGGGAGGAGGGAGGGAGGGAGGGAGGGAGTGGAAGGAAGGTGGGAGGGCGTAGAGGGATAGGAGGAGGAAGACAAGAGAAAGAGAGAGAGGGGAGAAGGGAGGAGGAGGAGGAGGGAAGGAGGAGAGAGAGGAAGGGAGGTAGGAGGAAGGAGGAGGAATAATAACCTCAGAGTAACAGGTGAAGGAAGCCAGAAGGAGAGAAAAAAAAAAAGAGAGAGAGAGAGAGAGAGAGAGAGAGAGAGAGAGAGAGAGAGAGAGAGAGGAGGGTTCAGTAATGTCAACAACCCAGACTATAATCAGGTTTGATAATTGAATTATTCTTTTCTGTTGTGTATATTCAAGAGGGCCCACGGATCCCTCAGGTGTCGCTCAAGGGGCCCACGGGTCTTTGGGTGTCGCTCAAGGGGCCCACAGGTCTTTGGGTGTCGCCCAAGGGGCCCACAGGTACTGGATCATTCAGAGGCCCCCAATACTATAGTTTTCTCACTAACACCTGTAACATCAACTTCCTAATTAATAAGTCTTGGGAAATTAATTCCATACACAGGTAGATAACTTCAGGTGATGACACAGACAGGTGGGTGAATTACTGTACACATGAGTACAAAAAAAGATGTTATTATTTTACTAGGTTCGTGACAAGGTGTGCTGTACCTGTTCTTGTACATGGTGTTACCTGTTCATTGCCCTCTACTATCATCTTTTATTCATTTCTATACCTATGATCTTCAGTCTATTTATCACGATCTTTTTATTGTTTTTATTCCTCTTTTCTGTTCGTCTGTCTGTCTGTCTGTCCGTCTGTATGTCTGTCCGTCTGTATGTCTGTCTGTCTCTTGTCTTTGTCATTCTAGTAAAAAATAAGTACTTCCAATAATATTTGGTTACGGCACAAAATAATAATAATAATAATAATAATAATAATAATAATAATAATAATAATAATAATAATAATAATAATAAAAAAAATAAAAAATAAAAATAATGATAATGATAATGATGATAATGATGATGATGATGATGATGATGATGATGATGATGATGATGATGATGATGCCGACACTAATATTAATAAGACAAAGAAACTTAAACAATAAACAATAAAATAAACAAAAACAATAACAACAAAAACAACTGCTCCTTCCCAGCTAGCAACACCGTGACCTTGAGTGTTGCCATCTCAGTGAGTTCATATAAACACTACAATTACTTCCTCTTAATTACTACCTGACGATAGCCTAGGGTCACTGTAGGTGTCATATATACGTGTACGAATGTCTAGCCATCATTAATTGTCTCAACCCTTAGTATATGTCTGTAAAGAGAGAGAGAGAGAGAGAGAGAGAGACTCAACTACAGGTTATTTCCTCAACACGTGTCAGTGATTTAATTGATTCATTCTTAATTTCAGTAATTAAATGTAGGACTTGTAATTAAGGAAGTCATTATTTTTTCTTCTTCTAACTCAATTAAAGCCTTGTGATCATTAGCGCTGAGTCACCTATAATTATCCATCACACACGGTAACAAAGAATCAGTCCATATTTATTTTTGTTCTGAATGGCTTTGTGATCACCTGAAGATTAAACAACTAAGCTAAGCTACCCTAACCTAACCTAAGCTAACCTAACACTAAATTAACATGACCTAACCGAACATAACATAACCGGACCTAACCTGACCTGACCTGACCTTAACTAATGTGTCCCACCTACCCAGCATGTATCATCTATGTATTACGTTATATACCTGGTGAATAAACATCATTATTATTATTATTATTATTATTATTATTATTATTATTATTATTATTACTGACTGTTTTATCCTTCATTCTCTTCCTTCTTCTTTCCTCCTCCTTCTTCTTCTTTCCCTTCTGTCATTCATCTTCTCTTTCCCTCCTCACTCTTCTCCTTTCTTCCTCCTACCTCCTTACATCCTCTCCTCTCTCTCTCTCTCTTCTCTCTCTCTCTCTCCCATCTATATCATCCCCTACACTTTCCCCAATTCCACACTTCAAATCTTTATCAGCAAGGGTGTCAGCAGGGATGTCAGGAAGCTGGGGTGTCAGCAGTGATGTCAGGAGGCCAGGGTGTCGGCAGGACTCCAGGGGCCGGTGTCAGCAGTGATGTCAAGAGGTCGGGGTATCAGCAGAGTTGTCAGGGGGCCGGGTGTCAGCAGTGTTGTCAGGAGGCCGGGGTGTCAGCAGTGATGTCAAGAGGCCGGGGTGTCAGCAGTGACAAGAGCCAGGGTATCAGCAGGGATGTCAAAGGGACCGTGGTGTCAGCAGGGATGTCAGGAGGCCAGGTGTCAGCAGTGATCTCAGGAGGCCAGGGTGTCAGCAGGGTTGTCAGGGGGACCGTGGTGTTAGCAGGGATGCCTGGAGGTCGTGGTGTCAGCAGAGTTGTCAGGAGGCCGGGGTGTCAGCAGAGATGGTCCTGACAGCTCTTCAGTAATGACCAGTCAACATTTTTGTCAATTTTCTTTCCTTATTGATATTATTTTTATTACCTGTCTTTTATCTGTCTGTCTGCCTGTCACTCCATTCATCTATCTATCTATCTATCTATCTATCTATCTATCTAACTAACTATCTATCTACTTACTAAGGCCCAAACAAAACTCGTCTAACACAGGATGAAAATAATTATATTATTACCACAATGAATCGACAACCTTCACCACACACACACACACACACACACACACACACACACACACACACACACACACACACACACCTCCTTTTAACTCTCAAATTATTCACATTTATCCAAACCTTTCGAGAAAATCTGTGTGTGTGTGTGTGTGTGTGTGTGTGTGTGTCTGAGAACTATTTCGATCTTTCCTCTTATCTCCCCCCCATAGCAGTCGTTCATCTTCCTCTCTCCCACCCCCGCACCACACCGTCCTCTCCCCCCCGACACACACAGGTACACGTCGGCGGTACAATGTTCCTCTCTCCAGTTTTCCAAGAAGTAGTCCTGCTACTCTTGACAACCGTAGAGCAACTCTTCTCTGAATTCTTAAGTCTTTTTTTCTTCTTCGTAATCGTCGTATTCTTCTTCCTTCTTCGTAATCGTCGTATTCTTCTTCCTTCTTCGTAATCGTCTTCTTCTCCTTCTTCTTCTTCTTCGTAATCATCGTCTTCTAGCGTATTCTTCTTTTCTTTGTTTTTTCTTCTTCTTCTTCTTCTTCTTCTTCCTAGTATTATTATTGTTGTTCTTCGTGGCAACTTTTCATCCCTTCCTGATGTAAATTTTTTTCTCCTTTCTCTTCTGATGATCAAATAATGTTTTCTTTTTCACGCTCAAGTTATATCACCAGCACACCATCAACAACTTTCCTCTACAACAACACCTCCACCAGTAACAACCCACAACAACACCTCCATCACACACAGCAACAACCAGCCACCACCACCCACTACAACAACAACCAGTCACCACTAACAACAACCAGTCACCACTCACACAAGAAGCAAAGTCATCACAACATCCTAACACACATTATTACAACCCTCCATTACAACACGCCCAACATCCCACCTCCTCCCGACTTGAGAGAGAGAGAGAGAGAGAGAGTCTAACTAGGGTGTGTGAGGTTCGAACAGGTCACCGCCCCTCAAGAGACACTTTCCTCAACACACTTTCGCCAAACTTTATGGAAATTACGAAAGAGTTCTCAACTTTTTTTTTCAAGGGTAGGAGAGGGAGTAGGGGAGAGGAGATAGGGGAAGGGAGGGAGGAAGGAGGAGAGGAGAAGAAGGGGAGGGGGTAGGGGTACAGGGAGAGAGGGAGGGGAGAGGAAAGGAGTAGGAGACGAGGTGATGGGGTAGGGCAAAGGGGGGAGGGGTAGAAAAAAATAAAAGGTTTGGTAAGAAGGAACAGGTAGAGAAGGAAGTGTAAAAGGGAGAGGAAGGGAATGAACAAGAAAGAGATGGGAAGGGAATGGGATGGGAGAGAAATGGGGGAGAGGGGGGGGTAATATTCCCTGTTAAAAAAAATACTAATAAAAGACTATACAGATGTTTGTTCACGTAAGACCTGGAAGACTGTCACAGATGTTTGTTTATGGTAATGAAGGTCTTTGTCTAAATCCTGGAAGTCATTTGAGTTCATTTGTAATTCTCTTGTCCTTTCAAGTTTTAAAAGCCTCTGAGGGAAAGTCCAAGAAAAGACTTTGATTTACGTCTGCAAGGTAAAGTTCCGGTAACATTATAACTTAACATTTGGATTTATTTTTTTATTTATTTTTTTAAGTCTGGAAATTCTGGAAAATTATAATCCTAAAATATTTTGTTTAATACTGGAAAAAAAATAAAGGTCTGGAAGTATGGTTTATATATCTGTAAGTTCTCTGTTGGTTTAAGGAAAGTAATTTTGGGTTCTGGAACTTTTTTTTTCTTTAGGTTCTGAAAAAGTTTGGTCAAGTTCTAAAGAGATTTTCTAAAAGTTTGGGAAAATTAAGTTCTTGAAAAATTTCCTTTAAATCAATCTTCAGTTTCTCTAAGTTCAGAAATCCAAAAAATAAAAGCCTTTGTTTACATGTCATCAGCTGTTTATGTCATGAGTCTGTGTTTACATTTACTCAGCTGTTTGTCGTAAGTTTTTGTTTACATGTCATCAGCTGTTTATGTCATGAGTCTGTGTTTACATTTACTCAGCTGTTTGTCGTAAGTTTTTGTTTACATGTCATCAGCTGTTTATGCCATGAGTCTTTGTTTACAGTTACTCAGCTGTTTGTCGTGAGTTTTTGTTTACATGTCATCAGCTGTTTATGCCATGAGTCTTTGTTTACATTTACTCACTGCCAATACAAAGACTTACACTGTTTATGTATTATGATGAATTAATGTGAAGTTATACAATGATTTCACTATCTGTCTTACGAGGAATATTCCAGAATTAACCTCTTTAAATTCTCCTCCAATTCTTATTTATCCATGTATTCTCTTCTCCTCTCTTCTCTTTTTATTTCTTCCTTCCATGTATTCTCTTCTCCTCTCTTCTCTTTTTTATTTCTTCCTTCCCATTTTATTTCTTCCTTCATGTATTCTCTTCTCCTCTCTTCTCTTTTTATTTCTTCCTTGAGTTTATTAATCCATTCCTATTTTCTTTCCTCCATCTAATTCCTCAATTTATTCTCTTATTTTCGTACGTATTTCCTGATTTATTTTTCTTTCGCCATTTATTCCTTTCTTGTCTTCTCTTCCCTCCCTTCTTCCATCTTCTATCACAGGAGATAATCTTCCTTCTTTACGTTTATCTATTTTCTCGTTTATTTGTGTTTTTATCTCACCTCTCCTTCTCTTCCCACGTCTCATAAACTAGTTACATTATTATCTGGTTCTCCTCTTCCTTCATTTATTATCTCTCTCTCTCTATGTATTTCTTGTTATTGGTGTTTCTTATTTCCTTCCTTCTTTCTCTCCCTCACGTCAA